GCTCTCCCGTTTCCTTTCTAAGGGTGGCGCCATCGTCCGTGGAGCCGTCCAGGATATTGCTCAGATCGTGGAAGGCGGAGCGAGCATCTTCACTGGAAGTAAAGTTCCCACATCGCCTGATGCTGTAATCGTCTGCGCAGGTCTGGGGGCTCGGTTTTTGGTGGGAATTGAAGACAAGGACTGTTACCCGATTCGCGGACAGATCTTATTGATTCGGGCGCCGTGGATCAGGTTTGGAAGGACAATCAGTACGAAAGAAGGGCTTTGGACGTATATTATACCGAGAAGAAGTGGCGATGTAAGTGCTTTCCGAGTACTTTGTCGACTGGTTACTGAATTAAAAATGTAATTTATAGGTCATCGTAGGTGGGACAAAGATCGACGATGATTGGTATGCTCCAAATTTTTGTTACACGTGCGGACGTGTCTGATAGTATCAGGTACCCCAACCCACGGCCCGAAACCTCTGAAGATGTTCTTGAGCGCGCATTTGCACTGTGTCCGGAGCTCGCACCGCCAGAGATCCGTGCACAACGGGCACCTACAATCGACGATGTCCGGCCAATTATCATTTCAGAAGGGTGCGGTTTGAGACCCGGAAGGAAGGGCGGTATACGTCTTGATGTCCGATGGACAGAGAACAAAGGAAAGAAAGTTCCTCTCGTCAGCAATTATGGGTCAGTGATATGTCGATTGTTTCTCTGAGTCATCGGAAGCTAATCCCGCACGACCTTACTTAGACATGGTGGCCAGGGATTCCAATCGTCGTGGGGGTCTGCGTTTGCTGCTACGGAGCTTCTGGAAAATGCTCTGAAGGAGATCTAAGATGCTGAAGCCTTATGTTGATTACGAACGTATCAAGGGTCTGAAGACCTACAAGTAAAGTAATCTAAATCGGTTTGAACCAAGTGCCTATCATGATGCCGCGGCCGGGTCTTGGTCTTCTTTAGTCGGAAGCGTGCTCTTGCCTCTATCTTGTCGATGCATCTCATGGCCTCTCAGGTCATCGACTCTGAGAAAGAGATCGTTGTGATCGGTGCAGGTGAGCGGGCATCGTCAGGTGTGATTGACGTTTAACCTCTTTCTTAGGTGTGATTGGTCTAACGACTGCCTTACGGATACAAGAAACTAGGAAATACCATGTCGCCATTATCGCGGAGACATTACCAAGCGATCCGTTGACCATTAGATACACAAGCCAATGGGCGGTGGGTAATTGCATCTCATCTGCACGCATGCGAAGTGCGATCTTGTGCTAGGGAGCCATACATTCCGGTAGCTCTCAAGCTTATGTCGACGAAGCACACCCAAAACAATCAGGTCAGCATTACCGTTCCAGAGATAAGTATAACATAAACACTTACGCTGCATGGTGCGTTGAAGAATTTGATAATGAAACCTTCAAAATTATGTGGGACTTATCTGCGCCAGGTAGTGAAGCTGAAAGATGCTTCAAGCGGCTCACAAAGATGTCATACTATGGTGAAACAAGACCGAAGCCACACCCCTTGGAGTCTATGCCAGATGTACGCTTTTACTACTCACACGTTTGAATCTTGACATATCTAAATCACTCCAGTTTCGCTACATGAATCCTAACTCTGAAGGATTTGTTGAGGGCGTTTCATTTAGCACCGTCTCAGTCGACGTGCCGATATATTTCAATTATTTACTATCTCGATTTCTTGCACATGGAGGTGCGATAGTCCGCGCGCAGGTTCAACATGTGTCCCAGGTCATGGAAGGCGGTGTGGGCCCATTCACCGGTGCAAAGAACCCATGTAAACCAGCCGCGGTTGTCGCATGCGTTGGCCTCGGAGTAAGGTTCTTAGGTGGAGTGGAGGATAAAGATTTGATCGCGATTCGTGGCCAGACCATCTTATTAAAGGCGCCGTGGGTTGATGAATGTATCCATACCTACGATGGGCCGATGAGTTATGTCATCCCCAGACGCAGCGGGGGTGTCGTTGTCGGAGGAACATATGGAAAGGACGATTGGTATCCCCTTGCACGTCCAGAAACGAGCAAGGAGATATTGGAACGTGTTCTCAAGATATATCCGAAAATCGCCCCCCCGGAAGTACGGGTAATCAGAGAAGCGAAGGTCGAGGACATAGCACCTATTATCATCGAAGATCGGTGCGGTTTGAGACCGGGAAGAAAACAAGGCATTCGGATCGATGTGGATTTCAGCGGAGCTGTTCCTTTGGTGCTGAATTATGGGTAAGTTTTATTTATTTCTGATCTTTTTGTGGACTTGTATAACGCTCTCGGCGATACAGACATGGTGGATATGGGTATATATCTTCCTGGGGATCTGCAAGGCTGGCTTTAGAATTACTGGAGGATGCCATGTGCAAGAAGAGATAATTTTTGAGGGCTTAGCCATATCGATGTTTGTCACTTGTGTGTTCAACAGATTCTAAGCAATACTTATCCGGTGTGTTTTTACCTGTGTTTCCTGGAAAAATGGTTACCTTAGGTGCCATCTTCCGTAAATCTGGTACATTGGTATCATTGTTCTCAACGGAAATTGCGTCCCCGATGTCAGCAAACCTGACCATCCAATGCAAAATTTGACGCGTGACGTTTCAAACTTGTCGCAGTTACTCACATACAAATTTTCATTTGGCTAAATTTTTGGGCAGAGATACTAATTAAAAGCCTCGGGGTAGACCACCCCAGCGGGGATGATGCTTAAGGCGGCAATATCTATTCTGCGGAGTAGTGATCAATTCTCGTGGACTGCCCTGCTGACTTCCTGCCAAACCGTCAACGTCTCATTAGCAAAAAGGAGAAGCGGTTCTATGCAAAATTATGGACGAACAAGCAAGGCGAACACGCTGCAGGTGGCAATTATATTTGAAGCATGACGTAACCGAAAATAAGCTCAAGGATGATACTCAGCCTTTAACTCTGCGAACCCAAGCCGTGGCTGCAAGTCGTCCGATATCTCCCAAGCACCCATATCCCACACCGTGTAAAAATTACGAATGAGGTGCATACCAACGAGCCATCCGTTGCCAGAGGTTCTAACAAGCCGGTCAATGAAAGAATTAGATTGAAGTTATTAGGAAAACCCTTACGGCTCGAACATAGGCCAGCAGTACTGTTCCTCTGTATATCCTGGCGCAATCAGGTCTGCAGGGCGGATGGTGATTGTACCCTCCGGAAGTATCATGGTCATGTTGAAGTCCAATTTCCGAAGATCCTCGCATAACGATCGACCACCCTGCTGAATGAAGGTATAGTTCATTCCAATGCTTGCGTAGATGTCCTCTATGTAAGCCTCCGGCACGGTTACCCAAGACGACCCAGTGTCCCACACCGCATAATTCTGCACATATATGGTATTAGCCTGTATGCTCCCGTTCGTATTCAGACTAAAGTCGACACGGTTGATATAGATAGACCAATAAATGAGCTCATTGTTGTAATCGGTGTAGCGCTGAACGTTGAAGTAGGTCACATCTGTGCTGTTGTACTCGCTGGAGTGGCCGCCGAATTGGAAGATACCGTTGTTTGGCGAGAGTTCTTGTCCGGCATAAATCGCGAATTCATGCGCCTCCAAGGTCTCTGAATTGAAGAGACTCTCAAGGAGAGAAGCATGGATGGCATCCCTACTGACATCGCTGTGAGTAAACTCCGCCTCAGGTAAATGTCCTACGTACTCCGCGCGAGGGAAAGCCAAGCCAAGCATTCCGTCAGCATCGAGCCATACCCAATTTGAGTAATTGGCGAGGAGGACCCGTGTGAAGACTTCGGTCGAAGAGTTCTCAATGGACAATGCATCAGTGAAGATTGTGCTGTCTTCCAATTGAGTACAAGGCTGATCATTCAAGGAGGAACATACCCGGAAACGGCGCCCCCGAGATAGCTGACGTCGAGAGTTTCCCCCGTGGCATTATAGGTCGAGGACTCAGATGGGATATAAGCCGTACGGTTAGCGCCTGAAATCGGGCACGAGTTGACACACGATTGGGCCAAAACCCATGTAGGATCTGAGCCTGTGTCAAGCCAGAGATTGAACTCTCGAGGAGGTGTACCCAGCCTAGAATACAATAACATCGAGTGGACTTCACAAGTACCAGTGAAAAAAAACCTTACGAAAGAGGTATCGTTCGGTAGCCCTCCTCAGTTATACTGATGGGTACAGTAAAAGTCGTGGGGCTATACGTATGGTAAGAGAAGTTTGCTGAAATAATAGCTGCATTATACCATACCTTCCATGACAGAAACCACCACCCAAGGTCAGAAGTAGCCACAGCGTGGAAATGAGGTACATTTTGGAGAAAATGCTTGGGTCTAAACGGTCGTTTTATACCGCCTCTTCTCGCGACTTTGCGGCCGTTTCGTTGGCCCGAATTTCCGGAAATTTCCGACACTCATGGAGGCATGGCCGGGATCTATGAAGAAGATACACATGAGCTGGCGGTGTTTTATGTTCCATTTACAGATAGAAAATGGCGAGAAGAGCAATCACGGCCACCTACAGGTCACGGTTATAGTATTTATGACAAGGATGCAGTCCTGAATGCCATGCCCAACGTACAGCTGGTAATTTTACTCAGCCACTTGAGCCGCATTAAGATACAGAAGGACGTAGTCAGCGAAACCTTCGCACAGTCAACTTCATGAGGATGAGCTACAGTATGGCAGATGTTGATTGAATACCGGGTTTGAGAAAATGGTGGCACCATCCGTTCCCACGAACACAGCTCCATGGGTACCAATCTGCTTTTCATGCGTCACTATGGATTCCAATATATCTTTTATAAAAATTATTGCTCAGTGCTCACTTTTGCTTTTTTTCAAACCTCAGAGACCTTTAGCAGGGCCCAGACAAGGCGCAAATTTCCATTGTTGTTTTTCGAAATCTATCATCTCATCAATTTTCGAAGTAGCAAGTTGAATAACCAGCATCAGTGACCGCGCAAGAAAAATTTACTGCTTCCAATCAGACTGCCTGGCACTTGTTGGTCAAGCCCCTGCTAAGTGAATGAGTCGACCCAGGTTCGAACTGAGGACCTTCTGTGACATTAATATGTTAGACAGATGCGATAGCCAGCTACGCCATCGACCCAATGGCTTCGCTATCTCCGCTACAAATGTGTAGTTACATCGAAGCTTAAATGGAGACCTCCGAACCACCACCTCAAAACCGGCCCCCTTTCCCGAGCCCATCCCGATCATCCACGGTACGGCTGAATCTCTCCTGTAGCTGTGTTTACACTTTTCATCTGATACTCAACCCGTAATCTAGAATAGGATCCACGGAGCTAGGTATAATTCCTTCTATGTCTCTATTCCTTGAATCCTCGACTGTAGGCTGATATCGACAGATCACCGTCGTCGACCCTATGTTCTCAGGGAAAACGAGTTGAACATCGGGCGCATAGAATGGCAGCACCTCTCAAACCGGAAATGTCTCATGTCTGCTCGAAGATCACGACTGCCGTTTTACTGGTTGCTGATCGTCTTCTCCACTTTTGAGCACCAGCACCCAGCTTGTGAATGGTACACTCGACTAATTGTTATCAATAAGGCGGTAACATAAGTAACAAAGAACCGGGCTTTGAGGCGTTCTATCATCAGAAGCTGTAATCGAAGTCTCTAGGCGCCGTGCGGTAATTGATTGAGGCTATACGAAGGCTCCTTACTACCACCGGTCTTGTTGGATGGCTGCGCCCCTAGGATGGTCTTCACACCAAAGTGATGGACGTTTAACTGGACCCAGCTTCCTCCTCGCTGTATTCACATCTTGCGTCTGGACTTTGTCACCTTGTCCTCAGCCGGGCGGCGTTATACATGTGGGGTAGCTGGTTGACGTTTGATGCTCATCAGGGATGCGGATTCTTTTCGGCTCCATCTAAGCGCTACAAGTTCATTTCTCGGGGCGCTTAACAGAATTATTATTACCCTTGATATCATTGGACGATACAAGACAGGTGGTCAGGTTGAGGTCGTATATAGGGCGCTGAGTACCTTGAATGCAAGATCATCACTCCCACTGTTCGACCACTACACTACTGACAATTATGCGTCTCTCTCGAGCATTGGCATGTCTTGCCACATCTTTGGTCCTTGCGCCGCAAGCCTATGCAGGCCCCATTGCATATGGCCTCTGCCAAACTGGTAGGTACAGAGGCGACTCATCTGGACGCGATTTGATGGTCCGAAATATGTAGGTTGTAATACCATGGCGGTTGCATGCTATGCGGCTGCTGGAGTCACGTTTGGAACGGTCGTAGCAGCGGCTGCAACACCTGCTGTTATCCTCACATGCAATGCTTCCCTCGGAGTGTGCGTAATTTCATCTTGAATATTGATATTGTACTCACATGCCTGTACAGATGCTCCGCTACTTGCGCTACTGTGGCTCTTCTCGCTCCGACTCCGTGAAGAACATGAGCATTCGTGGCAGCGAGGATATCGTCGTAGAATATAAAGTTCGTTGAGAAATGAGGATACTACAAATGCACCGTTCCGTTATGAAAGTCCGCATGTCCATACACTAAGAGGGACAAAAAAGGTCCATGAAAGTAAAGAGATCTAGTGTCCGTCATTAACTTCATTACCAGCCTTCTGAGCCAGCGCCCACAGAGCTGTTCTACACAAGTACGATAAGACTGGGGTTGGCCAAAAAGAAGGGGAGCCTACTGTTTGGTCCTGTCGTTTAGCTTCTGAATACACGAAGATCAATATAAGAAACACCTCGTCCTTCGCAAGCCCGTCCCGAGTAAGCTCGAGCGTAGTCGGTGTGGGCTTGGAGAACACATGTGGCCTAAACGGAACGGCGAAAGTTCCGGCGACCTCGTCATTGGGCAGAATAGCCTGGACGACACATGTAACGTTGGCCGACATGGTGAACAATACGCGCACCTTCCAATCTTCATAATTATACTTTAACGAGTATTCGTTTCTGCCTTCTTCCCATTTCCAGTATCTGCATCTACGAAGCAACCAGCATATAAGAAAAGGACATGTCCCTCATAGTGAACAACTCACTTGCGAAAGGGTTTGCCAGCGTGCCTCTTGATGTCGGAGAATTTCTTCTTATGTCCCAGGACTTCCATAATCCTGTCCTGCCAGTGTATTGCCCCAACGGTCACCACGCCTCCTGGCCCCGGATTTGCATCTTGAAGAATGGTTAGATGTCGTCCGCGAAAGTTAAAGGTCGTCTTCAGGGTATACAGCACAGATTCATCTACAGAGGAGCGAATTCGAGCGTTGACAACGTTGTTCTTGTTATCGAAGAAGGCTTCCATATCGTATCGTGCATAGGGTGGTGGTCCGGAGAAAAATGCACAATAAAATAAATACACATGGACCCACATTTAATCGAAATTTGCATGTGTTTACCAGAGGAGGCATCAACCGTAACCGGCAGAAAAGTTCTGTACATCTTCCTTACCTACTGCTGCACTGCATCCGACATCGACTTGACGTCGCTTGACGCTGCCAGAGGCAGCACGGGAGGCTCTGACGTGTTGGGAGGATTGGTATACCCGCATTTGACGACTGGTGGACGACTGAGGATGTCTGAAGGAATTCAGATTACGATTCCAGGTGTGTTTTCTTTGATTGTTATTTTGCCGGTTCTTTACTGGAATCCTCAACAGATTTTGAGGATGACGACTACAACTCCTCGACAATCCCGTTCGGTCGGTCTGCTGGGAACCAGTTTGGATTTGGAGGAGGATTTGGGGCGAGCACCAATGGTTCAGGCCAGGATTCACCTACGCTAATGACACCGACTATGGACAACAGAAGCTACTTCAGTACCCATGCTAGAGGGGACTCCGTCACGTCTGTCGACTCCACGAGTTCTGTTACTGCGCGATATCCTAACAGGTCCCAGACCTCTTTTGTCCATTCGTCACATTCCTCCATCGCGGCATCCAACTCTTCCAGCTTTCCCAAAAAGTCGTCCTTTGCTTCATTGAGGAATGCTTTCAAGAGCGGCAAGAACATGGAGCTACCCCCCGTACCGTCTCTCGACTATCAGCCTAATTCTGTGCTGAAGAATGCTTTTAACCGCTCCACCTCCTCCTTGAACAATGTTTCGCCAATGCCAACCTCTGCAAAGGGTATTCCACCCGCTATGAGCCCCCAATTTGGCAGACCAGCTACTCCCGCTTCTGCCGAACCTAGATATATGCGTGGCTTGCCGTCTACTAGATCCAAAAGCCATTCCTACGCCAAGTCGTACCACTCTCAGTCCGGTTCTATATTTCATATATCCGATACTGGTAGCGATGGGCATGGGCAGTTTTCATCCTCTCCTCCCCCCGTGCCGCGGTTTCCAAATGGCATGATTCGGTCAGAGACACCAGATTTTGAAGAAGACAAAGTGGTCATGGATCCCAAGACTCCTTCAGACTTTGCACTACATGCAGTCTTCATCCGGTTTGCAAGTCTTGGCCGAAGGGAAAATTGATACGTTTCTACGGCAATTTTTGGTGCGCCATGATTCTTCGTTGACAGTTTCTGTTCTAAATTGATCGCAGGAACAAGAACCTCTATTGACCCTTTTCATGGGACCTGGTGTTGATTCGGCGTTCGACGGAATTTTAAATTCTCTGGGCAAGATTGCACAGAAGCATGCGAAGCCTGTTGTCGACTCCGTTATGCGATGGCGAAAAAGTCAAGTGGAAAATGTTGGATCGGACATCATCAGGTTCCACATGGCACAATCTCCTCCTGGCACCGTCCGTACCGTGCGCACGACGGACGTTCCTAATCTGCTCAACGAGCGCAAGTCGCTAGCAGCGATCTACATTATGTGTCGTGCTCTAATTGCAGTGCTACAGTCACTACCGAAAGATGGGCTAGGAGAGGCCCTGGGGTATAGTCTAGAGAAGACCACTTTCGAGCAGTTCAAGAAACCAGACCTCAAGCTTCTGTTGCAGTCTGCGAATCACCGTACTAATGCAGAATTATATGCCACTATGTTGGGACATTTGGCCAACGTCAGGTAAGCGATCGGTTAAGCTTGAGTCAAGCTTAAAACCAACGTCGTCTTCACGAAAAGATTTGTGAGTATTACAGATCGATTCCTTTCGGAACTTGGGCCGGTTGCTCAGGGCCAAGTTACCAAAGATGACATGAAATTTGAGAATCTCGTCAAAGGTATCAAACACGTGCAATTGAAGGTAGATCATTTCGCTTTCCACCAAGGTTAGGGCCTCACAGGAATTCTCTAGGTCTGGCCTCCAGAAGCTTTTGAAGAAGGCGCTGAGTTTTTGGAGTCTTTCGCGAAATCCTTTGCCCACGCCCATGGTTTCAAGTTAAAGTCCGCATTTGCTGAGACTCTGGTACAAATCTTGCATCCGATTGGAAAGGTACGGGTAATCATGAGATCCGCTAGAACTCGATCATAAAAATACAATTTATAGACTGCTCAGGCCGAAACTAACAATCCCATGTGGGCCAAGGCGATCGAGATTATCTATCCAAAAGCAAGAGAGATGATGTCAAAACCGCGGTATTGGAACGTGGCGTTTCCTCTGGTAATCACCAGTTTATGTGTTGCCCCGGAAAGTTACTTCAAGAAGCATTGGATATCGTGCTTTGAATCAAGTTTGTCCAAGCTTAAGGTATGTCACTGTATTTTAATCGATCAATCGTCATCGTCTAAATATTTCTGCAGGAGAAATCTCTTCGGGTTCCGGTCATGAATGGTGTCATCCGCTTGATGTGGACATATCCTCTATCGATGCCAAGATTCCGCTTCCACGACTACATCCAAGCTGGATAATCTACTCAAACACTTTTTCCCACCTAATCGGTCTACAATCTTTCCTCAAGATGACGGTGTTGACCCGTTGATATACATCACCCACTTCGTCTTGTCGCGACATTTCGACTATGGGAGAGACCTTTGCCTTGAACTTCTCCAAGAATCCGCCATCAATTCCACCAATCTTGCTGGGGGCAACGTTGCCAATGTTCTAGCTTTCGAACGAATGACCGTTGCGATTCAAGCGATCATGCTGTCTTTCAGGCTTATCGAGATAGAGGCTTCTGCTCCTTCCTGGCCATCCAGCAGTGACTTCTTCTCCCCGGTCCCCCCCGATGATT